TTAGTAGTATCTCCGGGCTAAAGATCGTATTGGTTCTCATTCACTGATCGATCAATTTTACTGCTTCAATCCTACATATGGTTAGCTGAAATCCACACAGATCGGTGATGAATCGAAGATTGTGAAGCTTGTTTACATTGCTTCAAGCCTCACGTGGAGCATCGATGCTCTCAAGATTTCAGTCAGAAATTTCTGAGGAGTATCAGCCAACTGGACGCCTACGCTGGATCAGCGTTTCTTATCAATCGCTTGCATTCACCATATACCGAAGTATAGCTCATCCAATGTAAACTCAGTGCAACTTTATCGACATAATTTGATCAGCGGCAACGACTAGATTAACGTGAAAATGATAACTACGTAATTAAGCATCGCAACAGATGATTCTTTATTGAAATCTTTGCCTCACTTTTTTTTTCTATTACGTAAATACAATGGATTTTTTCTTAAATATTCAAGTCACTTTTTTCTATGAATTATAACTTGACAAATTTTTATCAAGTAAATTAAGGTTACAATTTCTTTTGTTTAGATTCAACACCACAAAATAATTTTCATAATACTCATGGGTAATATCATGTCAGAGTAATTTTTTTTTGGTTTTTAATCTTAATGAGAGTGTATTAGATTGAATAAATTTATTTTTCTTCAAGAACAGTTTGCAAGAAAGTTTAACGAAATCAAAGTTAAATATGCGTTGTCGAGTAGCTGTTAGGGTATTTTTTTTAATGATAAATGAGTGTAGAAATCTATACAAAAGACTTCGCAGCTGATTCGATCCCATAGTGAATAGTATTCTGTACTATATATTTTTTTTCAGAATATCACAAAATGTAATTAATAGAGGTGTGATAGTGTGTAGATAACTGATGACTTGTATCAAGTAAATGATCTAGCTTAGCGTTTAAATGTAACTTCTTGCAATCATTTGGGAATAATAAGTCAACCAATTAAAAAAATTCTCTTACTTTTACGTTAATTGGTTCTAATAAACACATGTTGACTGTTGGCATTCAGAGAAGAGATTTTTTACGACAGATTACTAATACAAAGACGTGTATTCAGTTTACTACTGTGATAGATTACTATATAAATGTTTCAACAACTTACAATATAGCAGATACCAACAGCTGTAACATCTACCAGGTAAAATTCATTTATTTATTGTAAAATAAGTTCATAAACAAAAATCAATAACTTAAATAAGGAACATAGAAAAGTGATATACAACATGGATATATATATATATATATATCTTGTACAGATATGTCTCAGTCAAATCGAATTTTCAGAGACCTGCTGAATAACTTACACTTATATGCTGCACATTGGCTCAAACAAAATAGAATACGGTCATTGAATTTTGATCCATCAATGTCATTTTATGATTTTTTTTTAAAGGCAATGTTATACAAGCACTTTTTGATTAAATTATTTATGAACCGATTGTAAGCCTTTGAAAATTCATAAAATATGCAAAACTTTGTACTAGGTCTAGTTTTCCTATGTTGGAAAATTGTTTTTACTCTTACTCAACTGCATGTTTACTGGCTAAGAAGCAGTATTCCACACGGAATCATTCACTAGCCTTTATTAACAATGATCAATAAATTAGTTCAGTATAATCACATTTTACATAAGAACATATTTTGTGAAATGCTACGAATCACGGTTTTATTGTGTTTAATTAGTCTCATTCTTTTAGCATACAAATAAGATTAAAACAAGAACATTTAAATGTATCCTAAAGTTACGCCTCAATAACTCATGTTCAAAATACAAACAAGTAACTATCAAGTCAATAAAATTAAAAGTTGTATTTGTAAAATCACAGCAATCAAAGTTGAACAGCCATAATGTTTCTCTCAACAGTCTTATCAATGAATTATCCAACATAATTTTGGTTTTCTTTTAAATCGTTTACACATATCTACTCAGCTGTTATGAAACTATTTTTTTCGAATCTGGCTTAATGTGTTGTTAAATGTGAAATGAGTTGTAATTTCTCCATTATTGATATTCTCGAATGAAATTTTTTCAATCTTACTTGGCATATAGATATTTTATGCAGATTGCCTCGACATAGTCATTATGAGAGTGGTTCTCATCGGATCGATGGAATCTGACTAGCGGAAACATTCATCTGAAGAGTCTCAAACCAAGGTGAAACGCGCGGCCTGGATCCGATTGCTAGTCACATTCTATCTATTCTATATCTGACTTAAGATATAAATAATTATATACCCCATTATATTTATATATATATATATATATATATATATATATATATACAAATCTAGGCTCTGTAAATTAAGGTCCATAAACTATGCAAAAGTGTAATCATTACCTTTTTTTTTAATGCGCCCTACTATGTATTGATCAATTGTATACTTACATTTTCTAAGCTACTTCTACAAAACACAGGTCACCGATTGATTACATTCCTGAATGAAAAGATTAAAAGACCTGTATAACATAGAAAAAAGTCTATTGATATTCAGAAATCTTTTGCATACAACTACTGATCAACATAGTAGTTGTATCTAAATATTAATTCCTATGAATTCCAAACGACTAATCCTATTCAAGACTTATTGGATTGTGTGTGTGGGTGTTATTAGTTATGGAATACATTAATTAAGTAATATTTGCCTGGTGCTCTTGTATTGATTTGGTTTTCTGTTTTAGTTGAGAAGAAGTCCAACTAAAACTACTAAATTGTAAAATGACTTTCATAATTTCTAACGGATTGTATTGCCATTCCTTCTTGTACAGACTTAAATACTGCATCTGATAATATGGAGCGCTTGATTTATTCTCAGTCTACAGCCTAACTCAATATGATAATTAGATGAAGTATTTGCGAAATACGAAACATTTTTGTTCATTGGAAAACACATTCTAACAATTGGCAGATTAAAGCAATTACTTCAGTGCTCATCATGAAGCGAATATGGACCTTAGTCAGTTGAAGTGGTTGAGAAGTGTGTCAAACCTTCTTAACCCCCACCTGCCCTGTATTTTAATTATGAATACCCAAGCAGTAGTCTGGAGAAACTAAATGAAGTCAAAGCTATACACAACATAAATAATTTTAAAGCTACTGATTGTTGGATTGAGTCATATATCGTTAGGTTCATTGAGATCCATTAATGAGATAATATGAAATCGGTTCTAGTGATATATGTATTAGCTTTTTATCTCCTAATAGACTAAAATATTTAATATTACTGCGTGTTTTTCATTTCATAATTTCGTCATTCTTTCCAGGCCACATTCAATCTCAGCATACGATTGTGGCGACTGACAATTTACATGTTTGTGTAGACATAGACATAGGGAGTAGTAATCAGACATTACAATCAAGGTTTATGGAACATGCATCTGCAAAGCTTTAAAATCAGTTAACGTCAGATGACCCGTTAAACGTGGGACATAGAAAATCTTGTTCATCAATAGAAAAACATATAACACATAAGTTTAACATTAAAACAGTCTTTAAAACATTGTATAGAGATGTTCAAGGACGAATTCTAAGGTTTATTGAAGCTTTGGCTATTCGTAAACTAAACCCTGCCATATGTGTACAGAGACAGTTCGTTATGACCTTGAATTTACCCTGGTAATCCTTAAGGCATTTTATGACCTAGGTTAATGTAACAATTCCCTATTCTTTTCTCGCTTATAATTATCACCTTATGTTTCTTTGAACCTACTGAATTGACCTTTTATTAATTTTCGCATAAAATGCCTTGACCGGATTGTTCGAAATGTATAGCACAAATACATCACATTTTTCAGATCAACTATGTCTGCTCATTGTCGAATCAAAATTTAAACAAGGGAATAACTGTTTTAAATCAATGGGAAATCCCATTTTAAGTGGCCATACTTAGACTGATTGGTTATATTAAGAATATTAATGGTAAGGTGAAAATTTTCCTATCACATACAGAATAAAATAACTATGATTATATAAGAATCTTCAGCGTTAATTCTTATAATTTAGTACAAACAAAAAACGCCTAGTTAGTACAACTATAAAAATATTTTTTAACAAACGATGACTGATACTAGACAGCTTATTTCTGATTGGTAATTGCATTGACCAATCATAAGAGCAGTCAATCCAATGTGCTGTGATATTATTCGTTCATTTAGTTTCTATAAATAAAAGTGATTTGAATGTTTTCGCTCTTGTTCAAACATGACATCTGGTTGTGCACGACGAGTTCTTTTACCAATTGATGGTAGTGAACATAGTAAACGAGCAGTGAATTGGTATTTAACGGAATTTAGTAGACCAGATGACTTTGCCTACTTTTTTCATGCAGTTGAGCCACATTATTCCAAGTCTAATGCCATTGAATCACATGATCATGGAAAAGAATTAACTACTAATTTGGATAAAAATCTTAAAATGTACGCGGAATTAGGCAAAATACTTGGTGAAAAATTACATGAGGATTTGAAAAACAGTCATATTCAAATGGAGTATATTATACAAATTGGAAATAAACCAGGTGAATTAATAGTTAATGCAGCTAAACAACGATCTATTGACGTTATATTGATTGGAAATCGTGGTTTAGGCGCATTGAGACGTACATTTCTAGGCTCTGTTAGTGATTATGTACTGCATCATTGTAATATACCGTTTGTTATTATTCCACCTTCGACGGGTTCATGAAACAATTTGAAACAATGGTTTATTGGTGATGTCGGTTTGTGTCGTTGATCACAACATTACGATTACACATTTTTACATTCAATTGGACTGATGCAATAATACATGAATGTGCATATAAATTTGCAACTGAATGAATAAATATTTTTCAAGATCAAATTGTAACTACTTACTCATATATATTTTTATTCATTATGCTCGTTATTGAATTATTATTTAATAAAATTTAATTTATGAAAAAGAAATATAGACAATTCAATGAAAAGAATGTTCTTTTCAATGATTTCGTGCAATTAATCTGTACAATAGTCGAATTTGTAAATGACTGATTTATTTATAATAGTAATTTGCAATCTAAACTTGAAGGATTTTGTGGCGTTAAGATAAAATATCAATAATCATCGAAATTTAAAAATTTCGTTTATAAAAGTCGGTGATCGAATAGAGAGAGAAGTGTTGTGTAAATTTAAATAACTCAACTTCCTTCGTTTATCGTAATAATCTCAACTTAGTTGCATAAATGACTATTTTTAAAGTTTCAGAGTCGTTTATTCGCACATTTCAGCATACTTTCAAATTGAGGAATAAGCGAACTGGATCACTTAAGTCAGTGAATACATTTTAGTAAATTCTTTTAAACGATTGCGCATCTAATTATGCTTAAAATTATGCCCTGTGTTCTAAACGTTTTACTACGGTTTACGGTTATGCTTGAAAAATGCGTCTAGATTTTACTATGTGATGATTGCTTAAGATTTCAAACCGTATCGTAACCGACAAGAAGCCATGAACCAGAATGAATTAATCTTATTTTACAAAGTTTTGTTCTTTTTTTTCATCAGTAAAATCGAATGCGTTAAATACATTGGCTTCTTTATTGAAAAGAATTATATTCAACATTCAATGAAATAATAACTACTTGCCTTTTATTCACCTGTTCAGTTGGTGCAATGAATGGTATTTTATAAGAAATAGAGAGTTAGTAATTAGATAATTACAATAAAATTTTTTGAAAATTTAGATATTTCATAAATTCAGATTGTAGTTATTGTAAATCTTTTCTTGTATGAACTAAAACGAAGTTGATTTGATTAGCAGGAACAAATGATATAGAACTATTATTATTCACAGCAGATAAATTTTAGGATAAATTACATGAAATGAGACTGATAAATTTTATAATCTGGTAGTTAGGTATGTACTTCAAAACAATGATGATAATATTCATGCTATTAGTACGTATTAGTTAAGTAAAATGCATAAATTAACTTTCCTAATGTCCTGGATTCTTGAAAATGTACTTAAAAGTTGTTGTACCTTCCAAATGCTACAGATAACACAAGTTGAATAAATGTATACAAGTTTATCAGAAGATTGGTTAATAATTTTTAATTAGCTAATAATTGAATAAGTTCAGTAAGTATAATGAAGACGTTTCTATGGTCAATTAAGCCAAGTTAAGACTCGAAATTCAACATACATCGGTCACATGAATCATTGAAAATTTAAATATAATATTTATTGTTATTTCTGTTAGTTGACGTTAACGTCAAAATCAGGTCATGTGACAGAAACAGACTGCTTCTTAACCAGAAGAAACACAAAAACTAAGATGATGATGATGATGATGACGATGATAAGATTTCTAAACAATTTAAAATGTGATGAGTTTTGTTTGTTTCATATATCGCAATAAATTTTAACTATTAGAGTCAACACTATTCATGAAGATTACGGAATCTTGTTTAATCTAACAGTAACATGACAGGCTACTGACGCAGCCAGTTAGTCATAAACAGACAACCTAAGAGTTAGTAGTGTGTTCAAGATCAACTTACCACATCTCACGAATAGAACAGGTGAAAACATTAACATGATAAGGAGCACGGGTTTGGGAGTAATCTTAATTACAGTAGAACACTAAATGTAAAAAATACATGCAACATAGAAAATAGGACTTGCTTAAGTTGGAAAGCTCAATTTGCATAATGAAGGAATTTTCGAAAGAAGATTTCTCCACAAAAATGCCATAAATAAAAATGTACAACTTTCAGTTTTTCCAGTTCAGCACCGAACAATGAAAATTGAAATTATATGACCATCAAGTGATTTTCTGAGTTGTTTAGGAGTATCATACATTATAGTTGGCTATTAGAAATGATGACTGAATTGTTATTTTATCTAAACTATCAGTATCTACAAATCTCATACCTTACATCGACCGGATAGTTAGATATTATCAGTTTTTGTCACCTCTTGGAATTTTACTTGGAGTGCAAAGGAATATGTAACTCTACCAAGCTCGTCGGTTCTCTACATGTTAGGAACAATCAAGTCCACTAATGAAGTTCATGTAGCCACAACTATCCATTTTAACCAATGAATCAACTTTAATTGTTTTACTAAATAAATTATAATCTACACAAAAATGTGTCTGGTTACAATTCGACAAAATCAGTAAAGTGTACGTCAGATGATATGAGGCTGTATTTTACAACAAACTGAATAAAAATTTAAAATATAAACCATTGTAGTTCAACTTAATGATTTAAACTTATCTCCTTTATCGATAAACAATGTAGGTCTTGATTTCAGACTGTTCGTCAAACTATGCCTATTCACCACTACTAGGTGGTTTCAAAACAAACAAAGAACATTTGTTCAATACACTCTCATTTTCAATCAAAAGTCAAATTCAGTGTTAAAACAGACTAAAAAAAAAAAAACTTCATTCAAGTAAACATCACAATTCAAATATTTAGATGAATATACAATTCACTCTTCATTAGTCCACTATTATACCTATTGACTGTTTATCAATATATGAATATTATAGCGTGTCATACGTACACGAAAACAAAATTTTATGTCAGGTACATATATTCACTGATGACATACAATTTTACGAAATGTCTTTATATTTATTTTATTAGATTTGAAACTTCCTAGTGTTAATTAAATATCATTAAATTAGAAAAGTTATTATATCCATTGTATAAAATTTGAAATCTAATCAAGTAAATAACAAACACATCTTTTTGTTGTTATATAGTCTAGTATGAGTGAATAATGTCTGAGTTATTATGCGTTAGCGTATCGATCCTATTCGCAATCAGACTACAAAAATCTCATTAATTAACCATTTGAATGCAACATTGATCTGGTCAAATTTAAATCTGTTGCATATTTGTCTACTTGCAAAAAAATCTCAGTGAATAATGTTATGTTTGAATATGGTTATCTCTCTAATTCATGTTATACATTGATGATGATAGGTAAGTGTAGTTGTTTGCTCCTTTGTATTTTCAATTTACATTGTGAATTGATTATGAGTCAAGTAATTTAATCAAGAAAACCTTCTCTACATAATATGAGTTTGATGTAGAATAACTAGCTATAGATCAACATGAAATCTAGGCAAACAAACACCAAGATCACATTAACACAACTTTTCAGTGTTTATTGAATTTCAAATATATCACACAAATGCCATACTCATTCCATTTTATGTCCATTGGTATAATTCTAATTTTTTTTTTTCAATTACATCTATAATACCCTCTCTAGTATACATAACATCACTTAGTTTACATGAAATATTAACTTGATTTGGAAAACTGGGTGAAATCAGCCTTGGAGCCCTTCTGAAGTGACTGTCGATCCCAAGCCCGGATAAAGGAGGAGGGATGGGCATGGGATTGGCGACTTCATCCCGTAGGAACATCTTTGAGTTAATTTATTCCTTCATCAAAGCTCTACTTCATCATATTTCACAAAAGATGAAAGTGTTCTACACTGAACTCTACAATTTCAAAGTTGGAAGATAAACATTGTTACAAAGAAATACTAATTCTTACTGGAGAATAACAATGTTATACATACCAAGTGGAATACATTTATGTGATCCGATAACTTTATTTTGTTATAAAGAAAGCATTTCGAACCATACACTACATATATATATTACATCTGTCTTGGAGGTTAAACTATTTGTCTTTCAAGCAATAAAATTGTACTAAAAACATTGGTTCTAAATACTTAAATTGAGCTAACTGGCCAACTTATAGAAGTATGGCTTAAAACGAAGATCATGAACCCATAATTAACTAACAAGTTGAGTTATTGATGTAAACGTCCAGTGTATTATTCGGTATCAAATAAAATAGATTGTCCTTGTCAAGTAACATGGACTAGTTCATATATATATATAATCTCCATTCCTAATTAGATAGGAAAATTATGTTTACAACAGTCTCAGAGACTGAACTTAAAGTAAATCCAACATTTGACTTCGCTTTGGTTCAAGCTTTCAATGTCTTATATTTGTTCAGATTTTTAAATGAAAGTTCTTCATTTCTCAGTTTAATTTATTAAACTAGATATTAGATATGAGAACTTATTTAGTTCAAAAATTTGCCCAGTTTCATTAGATGATTTCAATGTATTCATTTAATTAAACTTTGGTATGCCTTTTAATTAATTGTGATCGATTTCCTGACCTTAGACAATGTTTCTCTTATAATACGTCCTACTTCTTATTTTATTTAATATCCAGTATCTTCCAATATTGTTAGTCTCACCTCAAATCCTTGTAAATACAAATATTTATGGTCACAACTTTAACGATGCAAAGTATGCTTTCATTCGGTGACTAGATATTTTGACAACTTGATTAAGATTATAAGTAATTGATTCGAAATCATGTTATTTTTAGCTCCATTTATTGTGCTATTCATTCGCATTAACATTTAACCTTTCATATATAACTTTTCACATAGAATCTGTCAATTTCATGATAAACCATTTCAGCTTAATTTCTTTGAATATGACCTTTGAACATTCTAATTATCTTGTTGGCATTTATGTAGTGGAACACGTTTTCAACTTTAATCAAGTTATATATTATAGTGTACAATTTATCTGATGATAAGATAACAGTTTTGATGGTCATGATTTAAAATAGCTCTTTTACACTTCATCATGTACAAAAATAAACTGCGATTATCGTTCCAGAACCGTTCATGAGCTTCTATTATTTGATTTTTGTTTTTCTATCAAAAATTACATCATATTTTAATTTTTTTATTCGTCGAACTGTATTGAATTAAGCCGCCATCAAAACTGAAATAAAATATTTCACGTAGTATCTAAACCATCTTTCGAAATGTAACTTTCACTGGAAAATTGAATTATCAAGAAGAATAATTCTTGACCATAAGCATCTTGCAAACAGTGATTCTTCAGAGGAAGCCTATTGAGTGGTCAGAA